CGAGGCTGGGCGGAGCGGCGCAAGGACGCCGGGCCCGAGGCGCCGCGCGGCGGAGGCGATCCGGGCCCGGGCGAGCGCGCCGAGGCTGGGCGGAGCGGCGCAAGGACGCCGGGCCCGAGGCGCCGCGCGGCGGAGGCGATCCGGGCCCGGGCGATGGAGACGCACGTCTCGTGTCTGTTCCCGGAGCTGCTGGCCATGATCTTCGGCTACCTGGAGGTGCGCGACAAGGGCCGGGTGGCGCAGGTGTGCGCGGCCTGGCGGGACGCCGCCTACCACCGCTCGGTCTGGCGGGGCGTGGAGGCCAAGCTGCACCTGCGCCGCGCCAACCCGTCCCTTTTCCCCAGCCTGGCGGCGCGGGGCATCCGGCGGGTGCAGATCCTGTCGCTGCGGCGCAGCCTGAGCTACGTGATCCAGGGCATGGCGGAGATCGAGAGCCTCAACCTGAGCGGCTGCTACAACCTCACCGACAACGGGCTGGGCCACGCCTTCGTGGCCGAGATCGGCTCCCTGCGCGCCCTCAACCTCAGCCTCTGCAAGCAGATCACCGACAGCAGCTTGGGCCGCATCGCCCAGTACCTCAAGGGCCTGGAGGTGCTGGAGCTGGGCGGCTGCAGCAACATCACCAACACGGGCCTCTTGCTCATCGCCTGGGGCCTCCAACGTCTCAAGAGCCTCAACCTGCGATCCTGTCGCCACCTGTCCGATGTGGGCATCGGGCACTTGGCCGGCATGACCCGGAGCGCGGCTGAGGGCTGCCTGGGGCTGGAACAGCTGACGCTGCAGGACTGCCAGAAGCTCAGCGACCTCTCCCTCAAGCATCTGGCCCGGGGTCTCACTCGCCTGCGCCAGCTCAACCTCAGCTTCTGCGGGGGGATCTCGGATGCCGGGCTGCTGCACCTGTCACACATGAGCAGCTTGCGCACGTTGAACCTACGCTCCTGTGACAACATTAGCGACACCGGTATCATGCACCTGGCCATGGGCAGCTTGCGCCTTTCGGGCTTGGACGTCTCCTTCTGTGACAAAGTCGGAGACCAAAGCTTGGCCTACATTGCACAGGGCCTGGACGGCTTGCGCTCTCTCTCCCTTTGCTCTTGCCACATCAGCGACGAGGGCATCAACCGCATGGTGCGCCAGATGCATGGACTGCGCACCCTCAACATTGGCCAGTGCGTCCGCATCACTGACAAAGGCCTGGAGCTTATCGCCGAGCACCTTAGTCAGCTCACCGGCATTGACCTTTATGGCTGCACCCGCATCACTAAAAGAGGCCTGGAGCGCATCACTCAGTTGCCCTGCCTCAAGGTGCTCAATCTGGGACTCTGGCAAATGACTGAGAGTGAAAAAGTAAGGTGAGAGGAGGGGACACCCGGAAAGCCCCATCCCGCCGGAAGGATTCACCAACTGACTACTGCAGTAGAGAAAAGTGGAGGGGGAGGGAGGCGGTAGTCCTCCAAAGGGGTTTGGGGAAGGAAGAGAAAGCATCTTCCATCCTTCTGAGGTCGGTAAACTGAGGAGCCAGATTGTTGGGGGTAATATGCTGACTCTGTAACCCGCTTAGAGGGGGCTGGAAAGCACTGTGAAGTGGTATATAAGTCTAAGTGCTATTGCTATCTTGGCTATTTGCCTGCCTCTGGTGCCCGCACAATGGAGGTGAGAGAAAGGG